AGGTGCTTTTGTTGTTCGGGGGGAGCTGCAGCGGCTGCAGCTGCAGCACAACGCCCTGGGCAGCCTGGCCCCCGAGATCTTTGCTGGTCTCCACAACCTCACTGTCCTCAGCCTGGAGGGCAACCGCCTGGCCACTCTGTCTACTGCCCTCTTTGCCAACACCCCTCACCTCCTCCACCTCTCGCTGGCTCGCAACAGGCTGGAGATGCTGCCTCAGGGGCTCTTTGCCAACCTGTCAGCTCTGCAGACCCTGGTGCTGTCGCACAACGCCATAGTCCACCTCCACACCGAGGTTTTCGAGGGACTATCAGGGCTGGTGATGTTGCAGGTGAGCTACAACAACATCTCTATCCTGCCAGCTGGGCTGCTGGATGGGATGCCCCTCCTCACCTCCCTGGCCCTGGACCACAACAGCCTGGCCCACCTGCCTCTGGGACTCTTTGATGCCAACGAGCAGCTGGTGCGTGTGGAGCTCGCCCACAACCCCTGGGCCTGCGACTGCCACCTGGCCTATCTCCTGGGCTGGCTCCAGGACTTTGCTGAGCCCCTCATCCATGCACAAGCCTCCTGTGCCAGCCCAGCCACTCTGCGGGGCAGGTCCCTGCTGGAGGTCCCCCAGAGGCAGCAGGAGTGCCCAGGAGTGCCTGGCGTTCCCCTTGAGGAGCCAAGGGAGGATGCTCCAGGGCAGTGCACCTACAGCAATCCTGAAGGCACCATGAGTGTAGCTTGTGATGCCACCAGCTGCCAGCAGCTCAGCCTTCAGCTCCCTCCTCTTCCCAGGCAAGCAGCCGGGCCAGGGCCGGGGTACCAGGGCGCCTGGGTGCTGCGCTCCCGCTGCGGCTCCCTGCGGGTCAGCGTCCTCATCACAGCACAGGGGGAGGATGAAACCACTTTGCCAGGTCTTCCTGCTGCACCCTAGCTCTTGAGCAGGTGCCTGCCCTGCTTCTGCACTGGCAACCTCTGAACCAGCCTGGGAAACAGCACCAGTCTCGCTTTGCTACTCCTACCATGGTCACCAGCCATCACAGAGCTCTCCACGTGGCCTCATGGTATTTATTCCCCCAGCTATGCATTTCCTGTGTATTTCAAATATAATTAAAATATATACATTATTGCTGTGCAACCAGTTGCTGTGGTGGAGAAAGGAAACACTCTGTTGCTACACCTGGGTGAAGTGGTGAAGGTTGCTGTGGTCCAGTGGGGCCGTGGCTGGGGCTGTATGTGGTGTGGCACGGGTGCAGGTGCCTGGTGCTGCTCTCTGGCTTGCTCATCTCTGCCCGGTGCAGCTCTCCTGCCCGATGTCCCTCAGCAGTGCACAGACCCACCTGCAGCCTGGCACTAACCTCCAGCACACGGGTTTGGTGTGGGCTGTCCAGGGCAGCCCAGAGAGGGGCAGGGGTGGGCTGGCTGCAGGGTGGGCTCCGGCCTGGGGCTGTGCACAGACAGGTCCCCCCAGACCCGGCAGGGCTCGTCCTGCAGCCCTTCAGTCTGCCCAGGAGCGGTTCTGGAGCCCTGGAGATGGGGTACAGAGTCTCATCCAGTGGGCAGCAGGGAAAGGTGAGTGCCCCCCTAACAGAGCAGGTGGGTGTGCAGATGTGTGTGAGTGCAGGCACATCTGGGTGCTGCTGGACGCAGGCGTGCGTGTGTGTGTGTGTGTGTGTGTGTGCGCCAGGGTGTGTGCCCGCTCGGGTGCCGACGTGCACAACCCGGGCCCCGTCCAGCCCTTCTCCCGGGGGTTCCCGGGCGGTGTTGCTGCTCCATCTTGTGGCCGCTGGGACAGGGGCTGGCACAGCTGCCACCCGCAGCCTGGGGGGCGGGGGGCCCTCCTGCTGTGAGCCTTGTCCCCTGGTGCACCCTGGCTCCTGCAGCCTCTGGAGCAGCCTGGGACCTGGATGCACATGGCGTTGCTGTTGGAAAGGCGTGAGGCTGTTGAAGGGATGCAGTTGTTGGAGTGTTTTTTTAATTTGCCAGGCGAGGTATGAGGAAGCCCAGGAAGCCTGAGATGAGCCTTAATAATAGTAGGTGAAAACTGAAGAAGACGCCTTCTGCCAGCCAAGATCCCAGGTGTGGCTGCTGGAGGGTCTTTGGCTTGTGCTAGGGCAGAGGAGAGCACAGCCCCAGCCCCATGGCTGGTGGATGTGGGGCTGAGCCCAGAGCACAGATGTCAGACTATCTCTTTGGCCATAGATGTTATTCCTGTTACAAGCTTAAACAAATGGCTTCAGACCAGCGCTTTTAGCTACATAAGCCAATTCCTGAGGAAGGAAACTGCTGGATATTTTTAATAGGAAAATCTTTAAATAGGAAAACTCCTTTCTGCTGTGTTAGTGGAGGTGATGCCTGTGAAGCTGGTGGTTTACATGGTGGAGATATGGGGCTGCAGAGCCCATCAGCTCACAAAACAAGCTGGTCTACAGATTTCAGGGTTCCCTGGATGTGACTAGTCAAGTGGTGCCAACAGATAACGCCTGGGGAGTACGTGCCTGCGTCCTCCGTAAGGGGTTTCTGCGACAGCCTCCCACAGTGGGGGCACAGCTTCCCCAGCTGTCCCTTATCTCCCCACACAGACCGGTGCCCTGACCTGTCATGAAACCAAGCCCTGTGCCTGAGCCGTGGATAAAGCTGGCCAGGTGATGGGAGCACATCTGGTGGCTCCACTCCACACGCAGCACGGCTCACTCCAGCAGCTGGACTCATTCGCGAGCATCGGGCCAAGTAAGTGATGCAAAAAGCTTTTTTTACTCTTTAAAATATGCTGACCAGGGCAGCTCTGTGGGGGCTGTTGATCATTTTCTTGCAGCAAGGAGCAGGAGAGGCTACAGCAACATGATCTGGGGCCATCTCTCCATGTCCCTGCACTGCTGGAGAGTGGGAGAAGCAAGGGACCATGTTGAAGTCCAGGTGGGATGAGGAAGGGTTTTAAAAAAGCTTTGAGTTCAAAACTGTTTATGTTCATCCCCATGGGCTCAGTACAGTGGTTCCCACTAACACATCTAACCCACTGTGCTGCACCTGCAGCTGAAGCAAAACAGGGAATTTGGCACCCATGTCGCCACCTCCTGCACCTGAGTCTTCTTGGGGAGAGGATGGCCAGGGATCATCAGCAGCTTCTGCCCTGGGGAGCCCTGCAGGACAGCTGGCACAGACCTCACCTCCTATTGGTTTCTCTTCAATCCTGGTGGCATTCAGCCTCCTGTATTTGCTGACCTCTTAACATTATTTTTTTTGGAGAAAAAAAAAGCGCAGCAAAACCAAAACCAACAAAACAATAACAAAACAACAACAAAAATATCATTGCTGGTTTACCCTCCCAGCATAAGGTTCTTTGCATGTTCAGCTTTGATGGACACCCAAGAAGCAACCCATAGCCCTTTCCCCTGCTCCCACCCAGGGCTGTGAATCACAAGCTGGAAATTACAGTCCCAGTACAGTGCTCACAGCCATTAAACCCCAGATAATGTGTTAGGTGAGTGTTTCCAAATGGCAAACTCAATGGAGTGACTCACTGGAAGTGGTGGGCTTTACGTGGCTACGTGTGGGTGTGCATCAGGCACTTCGCTTCCTAACTGCAGGTCAGAGCCCTAAATGTTAGGTATTAAAGAGTTCATCTATGGACTCCTCATAGTCTTTTAACAAGCCTTGCTGTAAAGCTTTGTTGCTGCTCATAAGTTAACCAATTCTATCTGACAGAACCAAGGCCAAAATATGATGCAATTAGCAATAATCCTGAAAAGGCGATTCTTAGAAGCCATATTTTAAATGACCCTCCTGAACTGGCAGAAGTACAAATGAAATAGCAAGTCTATCCAGCACAGCATGGAAATTCTGAGTAAACAAGGTCATCTGATCTCGGCTGGCTCCTGGGGCCCTTTCTGGTCCCTCATTAGCAAGCACAGGGCTGACTGCTTCTGTTGTGCACAAACAGGCTGTTGCCCTGCTGAGTAACTGGACCCACTGGGGCAGTGCTAATGGGCAGCAGCACTTTGCCTTCTTTACCCAGACAGATGCCAGACCTACAGCCCAAACGTGGGAGAAGGAGGTCCAGAGAACAGACTGTTCAGCCCTTGTCCCTCCTGGAGCGTCTCCCAGTGCCAAGCCCCAAGCTGGCTCACACTCCCTTCCTCTCTGTCCCTCGGTACCAGCAGCAGGGAACTCTTGTAAATGCACCGTATGTGGACTCATATGGTCTCTGTCCTAACATGGGTTATGAGATGTGAATAGAAGTGTCCCCAGAGCTGAACAACAGTGTGACACCACAGTTCAGCAGCTGTGAACAGTGTTTTTGTTTTGTTTTGTTCTGTTCTTTGTGGCTGATTTTTGGAACCTTTTTTGCAGGACAATGTACCAGGATTTCCTTTTCCTTTTCTTCCTCTCCTTCCTCCCTCATAAATGCCAAGGTCAAATCCTGGGTGAAGATCCATATGAAATGCCCAAAGCCTTCCAGGAGGTCTACAGAGGGACCAAAAATGATGTCAAAGAGATCCCAAAGACTGCAAAGCCCTTCATTTCCGAGATGATCTTTGTGGAAACCAGCATCACTGCTATAAGGAAAGGTGCCTTCAGGTACATGCCCAACCTGACCAAGATTTTGTTTATTGGCAACAAGATCAGGACAGTTGAACCTGGAGCCTTTGACAGTTTGGAGAAGTTGAGGGAATTGGAGATATCTGGTGCCTCATTAGAAGAACCAGCTGTGGGCACTTTCCAAAACCTTCCAAGCTTGCAGAGGCTGGAGCTGAGAGACAGCCACCTCACCTACATCCCCAAAGGCCTGTTTGATGGGCTAGAAAATTTGGCAGAGCTCTCCCTGCACATCAATGCAATCCCTTCTCTTCCAGAAGGTATTTTTGATTCCCTTGTCAATCTAACATTTTTGGACCTGGCTAGAAACAGGATCACTACTCTTCCTGGGAAGGCCTTTAACAAACTCCCCCGGCTGCAAATCCTCCGGCTCTATGAGAATGAGTTGCAGGAGCTCCCAGAGGGGCTGTTAGACAGTCAGTCAGAACTGCTGGAGCTCAGCCTCCAGAGGAACAGGCTCAGGACACTGCCACCCATGCTCCTGAGGAGCCTGTCTCACCTGGAGAAACTCCTCTTGGACAACAACCTCATTGAGGTTCTCCCTCCTTACAGTTTTTTTCATTTAAACAAGTTGAAACTGCTGACTCTGAGTTCAAACCACATTATGGAGCTCCCCTGCTGCCTTTTTGACATCATGCCACACCTGTGGGAGCTGGACCTGGGCAGGAACAGTTTGGTCACACTTCCAGATGGCGTCTTTGTCAATCTCACATCTCTTGGCAAACTGATCTTGTCTCACAACCAGCTAGCAGCCCTACTAACTGGAGCCTTTGCTGGGCTTAGCAAGCTCTCAGACCTCCAACTGGACACAAACCAGCTTTCTGCTCTGGATAGTGAGGTCTTTGCTTCTCTCCCAAATCTGAAAACCCTCAACCTTCGGATGAATCAGCTGGAGAGTGCCCCTCCAGGGCTCCTGGACCCCCTGAAGAAGCTCAGCTCAGTGTATCTGAGTGGGAACCCATGGAGATGTGACTGCAACCTCTGCTACCTGCACAGCTGGATCCTGGACAACAGTGAGAAGATAAAATTGTCCACCCAAGTGTCATGCAAGAGTCCACCCCACCTAGCAGGGAAAACAGTGACATCACTGAGGGCTGACAACTTAATTTGCCCAGTTTCTCTGCCTCCTGCAACTTCTCCTACTCCATCTCTGCCGTTCACCTCGACACCATCACAAGGGATATCAACCTTCCTGTCACCTGGAGCCATGACAACTGCAGCGCCAACCATGTTGTCATTGGCAGCCTTTCCCACCATGGTACTGCCAACCATGCTGTCACCTGTGGCCACCTCTGCCATGCTGCCAGCCATGCCAACAGAGGCCTCCATCACCACACCATCACCAACTGTGCTGTTCAATAACTCCATCACTGCCCTATCATCAATCAATGTGCCCAAGACCTCCATCACCATCCCATTATCAACCATGCTGCCCGAGATGCCCATCACCACCCCATCACCAGATGTGCTGTCTGAGACCTCTATCACCACACCATCATCAACCATGCTGCTGAAAGTCTCCGTCACCATCCCATCACCAGTTATGCTGCCTGAGACCTCTATCAAAACTTCATCACCAGTTGTGCTGCCTAAGGCCTCACAATCCCCATCCCATCATGGTCCTGTGCCAGGCAGGGAGCAGGACCATGCCATGGCATGGAGCTCGTCCACAGCTGGCACCCAGCCTGCTCCCACTGCCCCCCAACGCTCTCCCACCCCTGCAGGCACCATCCTGCTCCTGACAACCCCTGTCCCCCCGCTGCCAGACCCTCCCAGCCCCCTGCCAGCTGCCCCAGCCCCCGGTGCTCATCACGCCCGGGGCTTTGCCCTGCAGCCTGGCCAGCAGCACTGCCGGGTCTCGCTGGGCCTGGGCCTGGCTGT